GGGGGCCGAGGGGGGGGCAGAGGCTGCGGCGGGCGTGGGGACGCTTGGGGCGGCCGGCTGAGAGGGACAGGACCGTCAGCTGCTCCCCGGGGCCCAGCACCACCAGCTCGGGGCCCAGCACCACCCTGCCAGAGGGCGAGAGTGCGTCAAGGGCACGGGCGACACGCCGAGGACACACCGAGGACACGCCGAGGCCAGGCTGGAGCGCGTCAGAGCCACCCTGCCAGAGTGACGACACGCGGGTGCCCAGCAGCACCTTGTGACGGACCAAGAGCGCCGGTGACATGCCAAGGACGAAGGGGACAAGACAAGGACGTGCCAAGGAGATGTCATGGAACCACGGGATGCCAAGATGAGAGCGTGGCTGCAGTGTGGAGGGACCCCTGAAGGGCGTCTTGTCCAGCCCCACCGTTCAAGCAGGGCCACTGACAGCCGGTGGCCTGTGACCACGTCTAGCGGGGGGTCAGAGATCTCCAGTCCCTCCAGCATCTTTGTGGCCCTTCGTTGGACCCTCCAGTAGGTCCGTGACTCTTTTGTACTGGGGAGCGCAGCGCTGGCCGCAGCATCCAGGTGGGACCTCACCGGCGCTGAGCTGAGGGGAAGGATCACCTCCATCTGCTGGCCACACTCCTCCTAACGCAGCCCGGGCCACCATTAGCCACCTTGGCAACACTGCTGGCTCGTGGTCACCTTGGTGTCCATCAGGAGGCCCAGGCCCTTTTCTGCTGAGCTGTTCAGCCCCCAGCGTATGTTGGTGCCTGGGGTTGTCCCTCCCCAGGGGCAGGATTTTGCACTTCCCCTTGTTGATCTTCATGAGGTTCCTGCCAGCCCATTTCTCCAGGCTGTTGAGGTTCCTCAAGATGGCAGCAGGACTTTCTGGAGTACCAGCCACTCCTCCCAGTTTGGTGTCATCTGCAAACTGGCGGAGGGCATACCCTGCCCCATCATCTGGAGCGTTAATGAGGATGTTAAACAGCACTGGACCCGGTATCGATCCCTGGAGTACACCGCTAGTTACTGCCCCCAACTAGGCCTCGTGCCACCGGTCACCACGCCCTGGGCCTGGCTGTTTAGCTGCTTTTCAGCCCACCTCACTGCTCATCCAGCCCAGACTTCATCAGCGTCTCCACGAGGATCTTGTGGGAGACCGTGTCGAAGCCTCCCCGAGGTCCCAGCAGGCAACAGCCACTGCTCTCCTCTCGTCTCCAAACGCAGTCGCTTCATCGCAGACGTTTCTCAGGTTGGCCAAGCCCGCCCTCCCCTTGGTGAATCCACGCTGACTTCTCCCGAGGATCCTCCTGTCCTTCACCCACCTGGAAATGGTTTCCAGGCTGAGCTGCTCCATCACCTTCCCAGGGATGGCGGAGAGGCTGAGTGCCCTGGAGCTCCCCGGGTCCTCCTCCTTGCCCTTCTGGAAGGTGAGGGTGACCTTTCCAGCCTTGGAGCTCCCAGTTGCCAGGATTGAGCAAGGATTATCGAGAGCGGCCTCTCGGTGGCATCGGCCGGCTCCTTCAGCACTCGTCGTTGCAGCCTAGCAGGGCTCATGGGCCTATGCATCTCCTTACATATTCTTTAAGCTGAACCTCTCCTCCCAAGGGCGCGTCTTCTCCGCTCCCGACTTTCCCTCCGGCCTCTGGAGCCCAGGATCCCCGAGCGCGACTCGCACGGACTGAAGCTGAGGACGTACCATGACACGAGAGTCCCTGCGCTGTCACTTGCTCCCCAGGGCCCTATGCCACTGACTCTCTCCTCTCGCCACTCCGGCGTGCGCGAAAACCGCGTGAAGGGCGTGGGTCACGTGCCAAGGCCGCGGCGGTGCCCACAGCGTCGCCTTGCTCCCCGGGGCCCAGCACCACCAGCGCTGGGCCCAGCTGGCCACGGGCACACCAAGGACAGCAGCCACGTGCCAAGGACAGCGGTCACAGGCCAAGGACAGTGGTCACAGGCCAAGGACACGCCGAGGACCAGCCCAGGGGTCACAGCAACGTCACCTGGTGCCCAGCCCCCCCCTCCGTGCCCCCTGCAGCCCTGTCTCTTCCCCCCCAGCCACCACCTCCTCCATCCCCGCTGCGTCCCTCCTCCCCCGTGCCCAGTAACCACGGGCGCTCACCGCGCTCGCCGCTCCCGGTAGTCGTAGACCTGCACAGCGGCGTTGTGGGGGACCTGGTAGGTGACGGCGCGGGTGCGGTCACGTTGGGGGACCCCGAGGTCCGGGCTGGAGGAGGAGCGGCCCCCGATATCGGCGCCGTGGGTGCCTCCCTGGGCTTCGGCCAGCAGCGCCTCCACTGCGGGGGGCAGCTCCTTCTCCCACAGCTCCTCGGCCTCCGTCAGCATGTAGGTCTGGCCCGTCACCACCCGCACCTGCACCCAGAGCCACCTCAGGGTGCCGCCAGGCCGGGACGGTCGCTGCAGGGTCGGGGAACGCCATGGGAGGGGGCTTGGGGGGCAACAGGAGCACTGGGAAGGGGGGTGTGGAGGCACTGGGAGAGGTATAAGGGATACTGGGATGTGGTGGGGGGGGTGCTGGGAGGGTTTGGGGGAACCAGGATGGGGTTTGGAGGCACTGGGAGTGAGTATATGGGGTACTGGGAGCACTGGGATGAGGTGTGGGGCATATCTGGGGGCACTAAGAGGGGAGACTGGGACTGCATTTGGAGGCACAGGGATGAGATGTGGAATACTGGGAGCACTGGGAGGCAGTGGGGGGGATACTGGGATGAGGTGTACGGTTACTGGGAGCACTGGGAGGGGGTATGGGGGGCACTAAGGGAATATGGAGCACTGGGAAGGGGCATGGGAGGCTATAGGGGCTTGCACGATGATGGTGGGCTATAGGGACTACGGGGAGTGACTTATGGGAAGCTATAAGGGGCTCTAGTGGGGTTGGGGAGCTATAGGGGTTAGGGGGGAGCTACAGGGGTCTATGGGGGAGCTACAGGGGTTGGGAGAGAGCTACAGGGGTCTATGGGGGGCTGCGGGACGCTATAGAGAGCTGTGGGCGAGCCGTAGGGGCTTGGGGGGGCTATAGGGGCCTATGGGAGCTATAGGGAGCTGTGGGGGAGCTATAGGCAGCCCCCAAGGAGGCTATAAGGGAGCTATAGGGGCCAAGAGGGAGCTCTAGGGGGCTACCAGGAGCTCCAGGGGAGCTATAGGAGCCGCGGCACCAGGGCGGGCACCTTGCCAGTGCGGATGTCGCGCACGTAGATGCCCTCGTTGTCAGCGAGGGGCACGGCCCGGCGTCGCTCCAGCACGGCCACCTCGGCCAGCGGCACGTACTCGAGGGGGCCCCGGGCCAGCCAGCGGTCACCCGCCCGCCGCGTCACCTCCGTCCCCTCCTGGGAACGCGGGGACTGGCGTCAGCGGCCGGCCTGGGGGTGCAGGGGCCCCCCCCCCAAATCCCCCAGGAGTCCCTCACATAGCCCAACCATCCCCCATGGCTCCCGGGTCGTCCCCCCCCGCATTGTCCCCCAACCCCACCGGTCATCCCAGTTGCTCCCCAGGTGTCCCCTGGGCCACCTCATCGGTGTCCTTGATGGTCTGGAGCGCCTGGAGCAGCAGGCCCTCGTCCTCGGAGAGCACGTAGACATCCTGGATGCCAGCCTGGAGCCGCTCGCCTGGCTGCAGGAAGAAGGACTTCTCCCCCTGGGGACGCGGGGCCATGTCACCAGCAGGACAGGAAGGTGCCAAAGCGGTGGGGACTTGGGGCAGGGGGGTGGGGACACAGGGGGAGACGGGGAAAGGACAGCAGGACACGGTGGGACGGAGGGCAGGGACACGGGTGCGTTAGGGACCCTCGGGGATGTCCCTGGGGGCCACCTTTGAGACCTTCAGGGGTGTCTACGTGGCCAACTTCTGGTTCCTGGTGGCCACCCGTGGGTTCCTATGGGAGCTTAGGGTCCCTCAGCAGGGCATCGGGGCCAACGTCCGTGTCTTGGGGTCCCCAAGACTGCCTTTGTGACCGCGTTTGGCTACGTCAGGGCCACCCGTGGTCCCTGCGGCCCCCGGGTCACCTTCGGGACCCTTGGGGACACCTCAGGGCTACGGTAGAGTCCTTCAGGGGTGCCTTTTGGGGAGACCTCGGGGGGGCCCTTGGGGCCACCTTTGAGACTTTTGGGGCCACCTAGGCACACATGAGGTTCCCTCAGAGCCCCCCAAGCAGCCCTGGGGACCACGCTCAGGTCCTGGGTCTCTTGGGGCACCTCGGGGTCCCCCAGCGACACGACGGCGGTACATCCCAGTCTTAGGGTTCCTCGGGAGACCCATGGGCAAGCTAAGGCTCCACTCAGTCCCTCGGGGGCCACCTTCGGGTGCCCACCTTGATAACGCGCTGCTGGCCCAGCTGGGGCTGCCCGTCGGGCCCCACGGGGTCGAGCACCACGCAGTACTGCCGGGGTCCCACCGTTGTCACCGTCACCTCAGCCACCACCTCCTCGAACACCTCGGGGATGTACGCTTCGCTCTGGGCCTGGGTCACCAGCCACTCCTCCCCCGTCCGCCGCACCCGGCCCCGCTCGTCCTCGAAGGTCCGCGTCGCCCGCAGGTGCAGGGCTTTCTGCCAGGGGGACGGAGACGCGGTGGGCGAGGGGAGAGGCAAAGCTCGCCCCAACGGGCCTTGGGCACCCGCGGGCACAGGGAGAGAGGGTGACAGGACCCCCAAACCCACCCCCGAGGGGCCTCATCACCCACGAGGGCAGAACCGGTACGTGGGACCCCCCCCAAAGCCACCCTGGGTGTCCTGATCACCCGTGGGTGCAGGACCCCCAAACCTATCCTGGGGGGGATTCATCACCCATGGGTGCAGCAGGAAAGGGGGGATGGGAGGGGGGGGTATTTCATCACCCACTGAGGCAGGGGGAACAGGGACCCCCTCGTCACCCATGGGTGCAGGGGGAACAGGGACAGCAGGGGCAAAGGGGACGGGACCCCCTCATCACCCGTGGGTGCAGTGGCCACAGGAACAGGGTGGCTTGCAGGGACCCCCCAGGTGCCCCCCTTGGAGGGTCCTTGTCACCCGTGGGCGCAAGGGTGCCCACCATGGTGGATCAAGGGGCGACGGGGACTCTTTGCCCATCCTGGAGGGCTCCTATCACCCGTGGGGGTGGGGGAATAGGGACAGGGGACCCCCAAACCCAGTCTCGAGGGGCCTGCTCACCCATGGGTGCCAGGGTCAGGCTGCTCAGTACCTTGTCGGTGAGGATGTAGGCATCCACGACGTCAACCACCTCCTCGTAGACCCCGGGTAGGTAGGCACCCA